ACGTACGTACGTACTACTACTACTAACTACGTACTAACTAACTAACTAACTAACTAACTAACTAAGTACTACTAGTACTAGTACGTAACTACGTAACGTACTACTACTCTCTCTCTCTCTCTCTCTCTCTCTCTCTCTCTCTCTCTCTCTCTCTCCTTTTTTTTTTTTGGCTGTATATCTGTCCCACACGCCTTCCAATATCTTCTAAGCTATCCACTATGAAATGCAAATGAAGAAATAGAAAAGATTAGAAAGAAAAGTTGTAATGGGCACCAGATAAGTACCATTTAAGAAAACAAAGAAGTGAATCTGTGTGTGAGTGTGTGTATGAGAGAGACAGTGTGTGTGCTCATTGATACGCTTGATTTCCTCGAGGTTATTTTGGAAGTATTGCCCAAAATTTTTATAATTGACAGAAGAAGCAAAGGCTTGTCTTATAGTTAATTACCACATAACCTCCTTGAGGCAAGTTTGGCAGGAGTCTTCAAACTTAAAAATGGTTAAATACCGCATGACTTCTTCAAGGCTGTTTTGGCAAGATTCATTCAAAACTTAAACGGTTAATTATCGAATGCCACTCTAACAGAGGAACATTACAGCATTATTGCCATAATTAGACAATCTTTTTCAGGTGTTGCAGCATTCTCACAGTTCTTTTAGAAAGAAATGATTTCAAAGATCCTTCAATGGTGCCCTTTGCAGATTATTTTTCATGAAATTAGACCAATTTTCATAATCATTTCAAGCTCAGAAATGTAGCATTTTTTTCCATGAATAATAAAAAAGAGGCAGTATTAAACACTGCAATGTTTACTTGTAATGATTTTGAAAACCAGATGGCTACTCTGAAAATTTCTTAATTTCTTGGCTAGACTTTCAGTATAATACTTCTCAAATGAAGGAACTATGCTGATTTCTAAGATTTGTTGGAACGAAGTGTTACCATAGAAAACCCTCTGAAAAGAGAATAGAAGAAAGAGGATCTTCATATGCTTCAAAGAAATTATTTCTCAAAAGCTTGAGCAGGACAAATCTACCACAAATATTTTCCATTAAAAATCCCCGCTTTGAAGCCATGAAAACCTTATAAAATCTTCACTGAATTGCAACAATTTTCAGAAGGCAGACAATCGCAATAGTCTTAAAAATATTCCCATTTATAGACCACAAAGACTTCGAGCCTTCAGCTTCTAGCTCCAACACAACCAAAATTTTAAATTCACTGAACATCAAAAACAGAAAACCTTCAGAAACAGAGTGAAGCGCCAAACTTCATCAAAACACTTCTATTTTCATCAAAACAAAATATAAGTACACAATAGGAAGAGGAAAGCCAGAGAAAGCATTCAAATTTGCCCAAAACATCTGTAGAAACAGTAAATGAACAGTTAATAGATCAAAAATACTAAAAATTAAAAGTTACAATACGAAAAAAAATAGCAGAAAATTGAACACAGATCCATCAGAGTAGGTGGAAGCTAAACCCTTGGGCCACTGAAACATAGGCCATCATGCACTTAAGTGTCCTCACAAACGCGTAAACACAGTCTAATAGATAGAGAAAGAGGAGAGAAGCGAGACCAGAAGAAGAAGAGATAAAAACAAAGATTAAAGGTAGGAAGAAGAGAGAAAATTACTAGCTGAAGAGGGGCCTTGATGTGCTTGACCAGCGCAGAGGTGCACTGGTTCTCCATGATTTCATGCCTGTGATGCCTCTGCTTCATGGTGTACTCGTGATCCGACTCCATCCTGCATCCATTACTACTACTCATGGCCGCCAAACCATAACCTTAAACCTAACCCCGCGAATACCACCAAACGCAGCAATAAACCTCCCACTGGACAACAAACCCAGAAACCGCCTCTCTCCTCCCCTCTCTGCTCAACCAAAACCCAAAACCACCGTTTCTCTTAACTCCCACCCTCAAAACCGCTTTCACCCGATGGAGAAACCACCGATTTCCCCTGTTTTATCAGGATCACCAGAGCTCTCTCTCTTTCGCTATCTCTGTGCTGAAAACCACCGGTTTTCTGAGACCTTTTTATTGATTCCTTTTTCCCAATTGTTTATTTCGCCTCTCTCTCTCTCTTTTCTTTTTTAAATGATTTTTAGGGTTTTCTTCTTTTTATCCGGTCCACTCTGCAACCCATATTCCTTCGCTCAGCTCAATCAACCCCACCCCTTTCCATTATTTTTCACCCCTTTTTCTCTCTCTTTTCTTTTCCCACTTCGCTCTAAAGCCCAGGTTTTCGTCCAAGAAAATGGCTATAATGCCCTCCACTTTTCCATAATTACAAAGAAGTCTTCCACCTGAATTAAACGAAGTGGATATCCCCGTTATCCACTGTGCGTTTTGGGTGGGCCGACCACCGGATTAGGTAGTCCCGCTAGACCATGTAAACAAATCGTCGATGATATCCGTTATCCAAACATCACGTGACGATTTTGTCCGCTGTCTTAAGCTCGTGTGGGCGTCTGCTTCAGGGGTAAAATAGTCATTTCTGTGTGCTGGAAGTTGGGGCACTGTGTCATTGGGCAAGAAGAAAGGGGTGTTTCGATCATTTGTGGCGCTTTTGTGTTCCCAAAGATTTGGGTTTTTGAGGGTTTTCTATCAGTCTGGAGACTGGACATCCATGGATCGCGTGACACGTGGCGAGATCTCGAACGCAGAGTCGATCAAGTTGGGGGGGCGGGGTTGTTTTTTTAATGAGAATGACTCACTCTCTTCATTCCCGAAGCTTCTTGGTTGCGTTATGGTAGAGCTCGCCACGCTGCCGCCGGGCCCACCGGTCCAAATATTTTGGCGTGTAGCAGATGCCGATTAATCGCCGATGTTTTCAACCCAATCCCATTTCCTACGCCCGCATCCTCTTTCTTACCGCTTAACCGCCCGCCAAAAAGAGGGCTGGGGCAAAAGGAATTACGGAAGTCAAAAGATTTCATGCTCCTTCAGGAGTGTACTGTCTATTTACTACTTTGGTAAAAAAAATTCAATCTAAGGTTAACTTTTCAAGCTCAAATTTTGGAACGTAAATCCTTTGACTGACTTTATAAAAATTTATGAAGGAAAATGGTTTGAGAGGGCAGTACCCTATCAACATAAGTAAACCCTCACTTCATAACTCATCAAAACTTGTCGTTCAAGCTTTAAATCGGTGATATGCTCTTGAACATTTTAGTTGTTAAAAAAAATCAAGATTTTAAGTTTTAAAAATAGTGATATTGTAACAAATCAAAAATCATCTAGACCATCCATTTCCCCCCAAAAAGTGTTAATAGATCTTCAAAATCTGTACAATTTTTTAATTTCAAAATTTTAGGAATTAATTTTAAAACCATCATAAAGATTTTCAATGCCCAAAGTGCTTCCGAATGAGGATTTGAAATGAGGTTTTATTTTGCTTTCATAAAGCCTAGGCCCGATAGAAACCTCGTTCGATTCTAAATTCTACTTTCTATCCATATGGTGAAAAAATAATTTGCAAGATTGAATAGAAACTATCCAATTTTTAAAGGTTGAGATCTAAGTGATAGGAGAGTCAAAATTCAAACAATCATCTTGTGATTTTTAGATGGTTCTCATAATTTCATATCAAAATAATTTATAAAATTGATCTTCTATTCGAGAGAGTGAATGTACAGTTTCCTCCAATAACGTAGCATATGTAAACCTAACTTACCAGCGTTTTAACATCACGCCCACTCCCATGGATTCAACAATTCAACGAGGATTTAAGTGGAATCGATTTGGTCAGGCCTTCAAGAAATTTGCTTACGATTGGCAAACTGGGCATCCGAATTGGCTGATTTGGCAGGTCCTCCTCATTGAGAATCGTTCCTAGAAAAATTATACCGATTTTATGTATTTGGGTCGGAATCATACTGATTTTCTGTTTTTGATCTAGCCAGTGATTTCCCAGATAAATTTAGAAACATTGGATTCAATTATTGTTACATGTATATTTTTTATACGGATTTCTAAATGTCATCAAAAAATATACTTATAGGTTGAATGGTTCCTCTTTTATATACATTTAGATAAATTTCATTAAACCTAAAATATTCAAAATGAGGACTTTTCTAAGGACCCGGTTTCTATGTGGCCACGCCTGCATATATAGAAATACGGGCCTCTTAATAAATATATTTTTGAGATGGATTTTAAGATTTAATTTTTAAGTACATGTAATCTCTAACATGGAGATCATGAATATGAAAAAATAAATAAATTTTGAAAACTAAAAATAATAATTCTAATAGAAAAACATTTGGATTGTTAGTTTCTATTGTTTTTAGATGGAACACTTGCTAAAAATGGATGTTTTACTCTTTATGGACCACATATGTAGAAATGCGGTCCAGTCCGGCATGAAACAATTTTTTTTTTTCAAT